AGGAAGGATGAATTTCCAAGCTCATTACTATGGTGTTGGCAGGATTCAGTTTCTTGTGGGGTGTTGGGCTGAGGGCCTGTTTTTCACTAGCTATTGCTAGGAGGCCTGTCTCAGTTCCTTGGCACAGGGGCCTCTCCACAGGGCAGCTCACAATATGGCAGCTGGTTTCCAACACAGTGAGGAAGTGAAGGAGCAAGGGAACAAGAGAATGAGAAAGCAAGAGTATCTGCTCAAGAGAGAAGCCAGTCTTTTACTTAACCCTAATCTCAGCAGTGACATCCCATCACCTTTTCGATTCATTAGAAATGTCACTATATCCAGCCCACACTCAAGGAGAGATTAAGAAAGGGCCTGAATACTAAGAGGTAGGTATTGTCGGAGGCCATCTTAGAGGCTCCCTACAAGCTTTCAATGGCCAAATTTGGGACAATTTGAGCAGCGTAATAAATGACACTAATGGATTAAAACTGATAGAATAAACATCCATGAGTCCATACTGTTATAAACAAAATAACTGAATAAATAAATATAGATCTTCAAAATATGGTGGGGTTATGTCCTGATAAACCCATAAGTTGAAAATGCATTTAATACACCTAACTTATGGAACATCATAGCTTAGCCAAGCCTATCTTAAATGTGCTCAGAACACCTACGTTAGCCTAAAGTTGGACAAAGTCATCTAACACAAAACCTACATTATAATAAACTACTGAATATCTCATGTATTTTATTGAATACTATGATGAAAGTAAAAATCTAGAATGGTTGTAAGGGTACGGAATGGTTCTAAGTGTACTGGTTGTTTACCTCCCTGACTGTGTGACTGACTGGTTCACTGCCACTGCCCAGCATCACAAGACAGTATCATACTACATATCACTAGCTCAGGAAAAGATCAAAATTCAAAATTCGATGTACAGTTTCTACTCAACTTCTATTGCTTTCACACTGTCGTAAAATCAAAGAATTATAAGTCAAACCACTGTAAGTCAGGGACTGTCTGTAAATAAATGGAGGGGAAAGGACAGCTCTTCCTTAGAGTAGAATTCCATTTAACAAAGGTAGAAAGAAAATAGGAAATAGAAAATCACCATTTGGTAAATACCACAGTAATAATTGCTGTGAGCAAGAATGAAATCTAAAATTACTGGATGAAACTCTGATTTAAAAAATAAGGTAAATGCAAAGTCTTAAAGTTTCTCCCCACAAGCTACTTATTAATTTAAAAAGAACATTTTTTAACTTTACAGTGGAGAAATCTGATAAATAACAACTTAACAGAATGATCAGACTTAACCATTAATGACTTACCAATTTCACGTACCTCTAATATGATGCACCAAGAAGGGCACATCACTTCTGTAATCGTCTTGCCAAAAATGCGTCAATCAGAAAACCCAAATTGATTGATTTCTCATCAATCAGAAAACCCAAATTGAGGGACATCTTACAAAATAATTTTCCCATACTCTTCACGTGTCAAGATCATCAAAGATCATCAAAGACAAAGAAAGACTAAAAATTGTCTATGATTCCAGGAGGCTAAGGCGACAGGATAAACCAACACAACATGGGATCCTAAATCGGATCCTGAACCAGAAAAAAAGACATTGCTTGGATAATTTTTTTTAAGAACCATCTTTTATTGAACTATTTTGTTTATTTTTAAAATTTTTTATTGGAGTATAGTTGCTTTACAATGTTGTTAGTTTCTACTGTATAGTAAAGTGAATCAGCTACATGTATACATGTATCCCCTCTTTTTTGGATTTCCTTCCCATTTAGGTCACCACAGGGCACTGAGTAGAGTACCCTGTGCTATACAATAGGTTCTCATTATTTATCTATTTTATACATAGTATCAATAGTGTATATTGACCCCAATCTCCCAATTCATCCCACCCCCCTTGCCCCCTTGGTATCCATGTTTGGATAACTAATGAAATTTAAATGGAGTCTGTAAATTAGTAAAGAGTATTGTATAGATGTTAATTTTCTCAATTAAATAATTATATTACAGTTATGTAATATACTAACATTAAAAGCTGGATGAAGGGTATACAAGAACTCTGAGTATTGTTATATTTCAAACAACTTTACAGATGTATAATTTACTCACTAGCAATCCTGCTCTCCCTCAGCCCTAGGCAACTACTAATACACTTTGTCTCTAGAGTTGCCTATTCTGGACCTTTCACATAAATGGAATCATATGGAAATGGAAGCTTTTTGTAACCGGCTTCTTTCTTTCAGCATAATGTTTTCGAGGTTCATCCATTGTTATGTGTTGAATTGTGTACCCCCAAAAGATGTTCAAGTTCTAATCCCAGTACCTGTGAATGTGCCTTTATTTGAAATTTGGATCTCTGCAGATGTCAAGTAAAGATGAGGTCATTAGCTGTATTGGGCCCTAATCCAATGATTGAGTCCTCATAAAGAGGGGAAATTTGGACACAGCGATAGATACACTTAGAGGGAAGATGAGATCAAGACACAGGAAGAACACCATCTGCAAGCCACAGAATGCCTGAGGCTACAAGAAGCTAGAGGATAGGCATGGAAAAGATTTTCCTTCACACCCCTCAGAAGAAACCAACCCTGCCAATACCTTGATTTCAGACTTCCAGCCTCCAAAACTATGAGACAGTAAATTTCTGTTAAGCCTCCCAGTTTCTGGTACTTTGATATGGCAACCCCAGAAATTGAATATATTCATGATACAGCATATTATCACTACCTCATTCCTTTTTGTTGCCAAAATTATTCCACTGCGTGGCTGTATGACATCTGGCTTATCCACTCAACATCTGGGTTATTCTGACCTTTTGGCTAGCATAAAAAATGTTGCTGTAAATATCTGTATACAAGTTTCTGGGTGGACATGTTTCAATTTCTCTTGGGTATATGCCTAAGAATGGAATTGCCAGGTCATATAATTCTATGTTTACCTTTTTAAGGAACTGCCAAACTATTTTCCAAAGTAGCTGCACCATGTTATATTCCCACCAGTGAAGTGTGAGGGTTTCAACTTCTCCACAGCCTCACCAACACTTGTTACTATCTGTCCTTTTGCACATAGCCAAGAGAGTATGAAGTAGTATCTAACTGTGGCCTTGATTTGCATTTTTGTAATGACTAAGGATGTTGAGCTTTTTTTGTTTTATGTGCTTATTGGCCATTTCTATATCTTCTTTGAAGAAATTTCTACTCAAATCCTTTGCCTAGTTTTTAATGAGTTTATCTTTTTTATTGACTTGTAAGAGTTTATATATTCTGGATACTGAATCCTTATCAAATATATGATTTGCAAGTATTTTCTCTCATTCTTTTTGCTTTCTTGATGGTGCTGTTTGAAGCACAAAAGTTTTACATTTTTATGAAGTCCAATTTGTCAATTTTCATATCTTTTATTATATTTGCAAGACTTCAGTACATCTAAAATTACTTCAACATAAAAAAACTATAAAAATCTATGTAAAAAGTTTAGAAGACTATGTTCTAGACTACCAAAAGGAAGGAGAAGTGGAATTTTTCATTTGCTATTCAACACAATTCTGTTTCTTTTCTTTTTTCTAGATTATACAAGTGATGCAAATTCTCTGGAAATTTTAGAAATTAACACTATTAGTAAGGACAACCATCACTGTCACTGAAGTTTATAGTCTCACACAAGCTTATAAACACTCATAAAAATTAAGGATCATTTGTTCTATGAGGGGCGAGCCATGTAAACAATGTGGGGATGGATGACTCACGGACTAACAGGAATTTGTGTTGCCATGCTACACCAAGGAGAGGTGGTGCCCAACCAGGGCCATTCAGCGGGCAATGACTTGAACTGGCTTTACAAGGTGAATGATGGCTGTGCTTTAGGGGAAAAAGAGAGAGGAAGTTTTCTAGAGGGCAACCAGGAGTAAAGGAATGTCAACGGAGCAGTGATGTAAACCCCTGATAGTAAGCCAGACTGGATAACACTGGATTTTGAAGGGGCTTCCATGGCATGGGATGCAATCCATGCAGGCCACGGGGCATCCTTGAAGACTTCTGGACAAAGACATGGCCGGGGACCATGGAAATGTCTGAGATACATTTTATATTCTGCGTACTCACATGCAGATGACCATACATCCTGGTTGGTCAGAGACAGCCTCAGATTACACCTTTGGTCCTAGAGTTGCACCCCCTTTCATTCTCAAAAGCGCCCAAATTTGGAGGATAAATATTATCATCTACACACACACACACACACACAAACACACACAACAGAACTTTGACAATTCTCACCTTTATTATGCGAAATGCACTGAGATTTTGCATTCTATTTTATTTCATTAAAAAAAATATATATTGGTTGCAACCCATTAAACTGACTTTGACACACTAATAGCTCCTAGCCCAAAAACTCTGACCTAGATGCCTGTCAGGTCTTGGGAAAAGGGGGAAGAAGACAGTTAAGTTTGGATATGTACAGTTTAAGGCCCTGGTTCTCACCCTTGGCAGTGCATCAAAATCAACTAAAGCATTACTGAAAATGCACATCTCCAGTTCCACTGCATATAAAGCTCTACTACGTGTATTTCTATGGAAAGAGCTGTAACATATTTGACAAATAACACATGAAAGGGGATGAATACTTACAGAATTAAGTTCAAAGCAGAACCACTACTTTCAGGAGTATGTGACAGCCTGGGATGGAACACGGCGGGGGGGTGGGTCAGAGGGCATGGTTGCGGTACCTCCTGGGTGCTCGGCGGGTTCCTGTTAAAGCAACGACCGCCCCTCTCTCCGCCAGCCTCCCCAGACCCTCACTGACCCGGGAGGTAGGGTCGCGGGGCGGCAGAGACCAGGGGAGAGGCAACCGGCGGCGCGACCGCTCCGGGTCGCCAGAGCCTGCATCGCTCGCCGGCGCCAGGACGCGCCGACACGCGCCGAGACGCGCCACAGGCAGAACACCGCCCCATAGTGCCCCGCGGCGCGCACGCGCAGGCGGCCGTTCCCAGCTTGCAGCCCAGCGCGGCGGCCGAGCCGGCCAGTGGCCGCCTCTGGCAGCGGGGGCAGGATGGCGCTGAGGCGGACCCAAAAGGTAAGGAGTCCTCTCGCCCTCGGACTCCTTGCTAGTCCGAAGTGTCGATTCGCGGGCGAGGGTGGCGCGGCCGCCAAGCGAACGGCGGCTGAGAAGGAACAGGGTATGGTCACACCTGCCAGTGAAGGAAGCAGAACCAGCGCCCGCGTGGCCTTAAAAGGGAACCGCGCTGCGCGCGGGGCGGGGCGAGGTCACGTGGGGCTAGCGTGGGGCGGGGCGGGGCGAGCGGAGCGTCTCCACCCGGCACTTGGAACCAGCAGCGGACTCGCCACGCCTTGGGCCATGTGCGCGGGCATCCTGGGCAGAGTGACGGCGGCTGGCCCCAGAGGAAGGAGGGTATGCCCTTGTCGGGGGGTCTGGAGGGCTGAGCAGAGGAGTCGAGGTTTGAGCTGGGCCCTAAGGGATGAGTAGGGTCTCTGCAGGTGCAGAAAAGGGACAAGGGGATTCGTGGCCCGGGAGAGACGTGGTTGGGCTTGGGGCGGGGAGGGGATGACTGGGGTTTAAGCGCAGCTGGAGCTGGGGATGGGAGTGGGTGGGCCTTAGGGGCAGTGCTGGGATAACTTTTTTGTCCTGTAAGTAATTGGGAGTCCTTGCAGGCGTTTAATATATTAACTAGAATTTGGAAAATGCACAGCAGTAGAAGAAAGAAAGTATTTTCAGTTCTGCCAGATTTCAGTTCTGTTTGTTGACATTCTAGCATATCTACTACCAATCTTTTACCTATACTTAAAATAAATTATGCTATATTTTGTATCCTGCTTTTTCATATAGCATTAAACGTGGGCATTTTTCATGTTGTGAAATAGTATTCGTAACTGTAATTTTTTTTTTTGTTTCGCTACGCGGGCCTCTCACTGTTGTGGCCTCTCCAGTTGCGGAGCACAGGCTCCAGACGCGCAGGCTCAGCGGCCATGGCTCCCGGGCCCAGCTGCTCCGCGGCATGTGGGATCTTCCCGGACCGGGGCACGAACCCACGTCCCCTGCATCGGCAGGCAGACTCTCAACCACTGCACCACCAGGGAAGCCCCATAACTGTAATTTTTAACATTAGCATTCCATAAGTACATTACCAGTAATTTATTTAATCATTACCTGTAGTGAATAAACACACTGGACATGGATGTCAGAGGGCAAGGCACTTAATCATTCCCACCCTCCGTGTCCACATGTTTTTACAGGTGTTTTTTTGAGACTTAGATGATACATGTTTAGTACATGCTTGGCATATATCAAGTGCCCGGTATGAGTTAACTGCCCCTGATATTCTAAATTTTATATAAAGTAAATAATGCTGTAATAAGCATCATTGTGTGGTGAGCTTAGGCTTGATTGCCAGAGGTGAGATAGCAGGATCTCTAAGGGTATGGCTCCTTTTTAATAAACAGCTCTCCAAAAAGGAATGTTTTCGGCAAATTATTCTCTGAAAGAGGTCATCTGTCATCCTAGGACTTTGAGACAGGTGAATGACATGCTCAGATCTGTGTTGCAAAAAGAGCCTTCTGGCTCTGATGTGGCCTGGAGTGGGCCAGACACTGGAACAAAGGGAGAGTGGACGGTATTGTGAAAGTCCAGCAAAGGCTTCATCCGAGTGAATGACCATGGAATGGATACCGAGGCAAGAACTGTACTTGGATGATGTGGAAGGGTAGAATTGACAAGACTTGAAAAAGAGTATGTGGTGAAAGTGAGAGAGGGAGGTGCACAAGATGGGTAGCTGGGTGGGTGGTAGTAGTATTGCCTATGTTGGGGAATCAGACATTGTGAGGGCAGGGAGCAGGGTGCAGGAGATAAGGAGGGTAGGTTTGAACTTACATGTGTGAACATGTAGGCTGGTAAGATTTACAAAAAGGAGAACTGAGAGTAACAAGTTTGGACCTTGAGGATGACATGGGAACCGTAGATGTAAGGTGATTGAGGTCACAAGGGCAGGGAGAACTTTCCTTGATAGGAACCAATAAAGGAAGTAAGCAGAGCTGGCTTCACCAGTATGTGACTCGTAACTCGTAACTCATAACTCGTAACGTCTCACTTGCTATGAAGGGCCCTGCCCTTACTTTAATGCTGTGCAGTCACCGTCTTGAAATTCTCAATAATTTTGACCAAGAAACCCCGCATTTTCATTTTGCATGAGGACCCCGCAAATTCTGTATCAAGACCTGGAAGAAACAGCCCACAGTGGTCAGAAGACATCACTGGGATGAGTTAGGAAGCCCTGGCTGCAAGTAACAGAGACCCAGCCACCCTTGCTCACAGAATTGGAGGTCCTTAGAGCTTTGGAAGTGATTTTGGAGCTCCTGCTCTGTTTTTGTGAAATTCTCTGGACTGAGTAGCTCTGGGCCCCAGAGCTCACTGGACATACCCTGGGAGACAAGGAGGCGTTGGCTTCCAGAAGTTCTCAGAAAGCCCAGCAAATCATTTTTTTTTCCTTCACCCCTTGTTATGAATCATTTCACATGCTCATTCTTGAACCGGTGGATGGTAAGGGGTGCAGCTACTCTTAGACCTGGAGCTGAAGGTGAGTCTGCCTCTCCTGAGGGACTGGAACTGAACAGGAGCTCTTCAGGACAGAGGAAGAGGAGTGGCTGAGGCCTGATCAGGAGGTGGCCTTGCACTAGCTGTCCCCTTAGCTCCCAACCCACAACCCTTGCCAACCAACTTCATACCTTTTTAAAAAGTTTCTTCCAAAGAGTTGAGTATTTGTACGTGAACTTTCAGTTTATTGATAAAGTATTTCCTTCAATTAAATAAGAATTCACATTTAAAAATCTGAATATGTGTCAGTGTAACATTTCTAAACGTCTTCAACAGGGACAGGGATTTATGTGGCAGCATTACATTTATGTTTACATTAATGATTATTTTTTGCTTTTTAAGGCAATATGTATCCTTTAGAGAAAATTTGGAAAATACCCCAAAATGCAATCTTTTAAAAAGTCATCTGTAGCCCCATGGGATAATTATGGTTAACGTTTTGATAAGATTTCATTCCAGTCTCTTCACTGTGAATGTATGCTTCTGATTATCATAGTCACGTGGTGCATCAAGTTTTATATTCTGCCTTTTCCCCCTCTTTTTACCTTAATGTTGTTTCATGACTTTTACTCCTGTAGTCTTTAGAAGCTATCATTTTTAATGACTGCATAATACTTGATTTAGCTTTTCAGAAAAAGTTAACTCTTTTTCTGACTATGAATGTTAGTTCTTCAGAGAGAACTTGGAGAATCAGGAAAGTATAGATAATACCATATTTCATCTGCTCTAAGATGAACTGGTTTTTTACATTTTCACATCTCTGAAATTGGGATGCTGCTCAAAATCGCTGTCAGCCCAGCAGCAGTTGTAACTTGGTTGTCACCATCTGTATGTGAGAGCCATGTCCCAGCAGTGTATATTGAGGTTAAGTGCATTGTTGGTGTGTTGAGTAATTGCTTTAAAAATGTCTTCAAGAAGATACTGTGGGAGGGAGACACAGGAGGGAGGAGATATGGGGATATATGTATATGTATAGCTGATTCACTTTGTTATAAAGCACAAAGTAACACACCATTGTAAAGCAATTATACTCCAATAAAGATGTTTAAAAAAAAAAGATACTGGGACTTAATGCTGAAAATAAAAGCTTTTGTGGACACAGGCACAGAAGCAGAACAGTGGGGAATAAGCTTCATATCAATGGAATAAATGTTGCTGGAGAAAGGACTGCAGTTCTTTGTTTCCACGCCAAGCTAACCAGATGCTTCATAGACCACAGAAAGGAAGGTTCCACCTACCCTCAGGTCGGTGAGGCTGGGTCCCCTTTACTCACCGAGGTTTGTGCAGAGAGATTGTGTATTGTGGGCCTTTGCGGAATGGGTATCAGTGGCTTGGAAGAAAACTCCAGAAACAGTATAGTGGAGGGCTGTTGAAGAATTGCCACATCATCGTTGCCTGGAAGGTACAGGATGATACTGAGGATATCCGTGACCCAGGGTTAGTATTGGACTCTAAACGGGAAGGACCAATTTATTGATTTCACTTGTTTTTCCTTTTCGGTGTGTGTGGTATGCATGAGTGAGTGAAAAACAAAAGCATGTGCCCAAGTGAGCTTAAAGCTGAGTTTTAAAATAAAAGTTTTAAGTGTAAAGAATATCATAATGATATCACTTGTGTGTGGAATTTTTAAAAAATGAGACAAATGAACTTGTTTACCAAACAGAAATAGATTCATAGACAGAGAAAACAAACTTACGGTAACCAAAGGGGAAAGGGTTGGGGGGCGATAAATTAGGAGTTTGGGTTTAACAGATACATACTATAAAATAAACAATAAGGACCTACTGTGTAGCACAGGGAACTATATTCAATATCTTGTAATAACATATAATGGAAAAGAATATGAAAAAGAAAAAATATATATATGTGTAAGTGAATCACTTTGGTGTAACCCAAAACTAACACAACATTGTAAATCAGCTATACTTCAATTAAAAAAGATTGTTTTTGAAGATAGCAAGAACACAGCCCACAGAATGAAGGAAAATATTTGTTTGTCAAATATCTGAAAAGGGACATGTATCCAGAATATGTAAAAATTCTTACAACTCAACAATAAAAGACTATCCAATTAAGAATAGAAAAAAAATGCATTTGGTCTTAGTTTAATTGCCAGTGTGTTTTCTTTCTTAGTTTTATATAAGATGGTCGTACATTGAATGAGATCTTGGATTCAGTGAAACACAGTAACAGAATTGAGTGTGTAACTATTTAAAGTGTAATGGTTTGCTTAACTATTTTCCTCTGGTAATCTGCTATGCTTTAACCTTTTCCCTTTTCAGGACTCACTTTTATCATCAATGTTATTTATAACAATAATTATTACACAATTTTAACCTGCCTAGTCCTTTACAATTTATAAAATATATTATTTATGTGTTTATTGAATAGGTAATAAATTCCCATGATTCAAAATTCAGAAAATACAAAAGGGTCTACAGGGGAAAGTCTCCCATCCACTCCTGTCCCCAGCCACCCAGTTTTTCTCCCAGGGTGTCATCAGTGTTAGTTTCTTCTGTATTCTTCCAGTACTAGATATCTCTATCCATTCCTCATTCTTCTTTTTGTAATACTAATGACTGCATCCTCTGTGAACTGTCAGCCTTGACTCTTAACTGGGTATACTTGTGTACGGTTATACACATTACAGAATTATAGCCAAACATTAGTGCTGGCCGGTTGGCAGGCACGTGTTATAATTACAACTGAACAGATAATTATACTGAGGCTCAAAGAGGTCATAGTTATTTTCCCAGTGACAGAGCTGGGACTCAGACCTGGGTCTTCTAGCCTCTATTGGGAAGACACAGGAATGCGATATATTAGTGAACTAGTTTCTTTCAAATCACACTGTTCTTCCTTGAAATGCCAGTTAGCATTTGAAACTCCTTGGTGCTAGTTGGAACCTGTCAGTTGAGCCCCACTTCTGGGCCTTCAGGAATCATCAACTCTTAGTAACCATTCGCCACACGGTTTATGAGGTATATGCGCTCTAGGGACAGAGAACAGCCCATGCGAATGCCTGCAGGTGTGGAGAAACCTGCTGAGTTGGGGGGCATTGGCCAGTACTACTAGCTTTTCCTGCCCCTGACTGCTCATCTGGTCTCTCTGGGATTTGCCTTAGTGCAGAGGGTATAAACAATCCCCTACAGAGTGGTAGTGGAGGTGTGGAGGACACAAAGCAGAGGGAAGCAGGAAAGGAACTGTTCTGAGGTTCCTGGAGCCATACTGCATTTTTTAGCACGTCCTCTGATCCCCTCACATGACCTTAGCTGTTCCCCAAGCTCATTTCTGTTGTGACAACTAGCAATGCTGAGTACTGAGTGCTTACCAAGTGCAACCTATTTAGATACATTAGATACTAGCTAAGAACTGACTGGTGGTATACTGGCAGGTGTTTAAAAACCAACCCTGTGGGGCTTCCCTGGTGGCGCAGTGGTTGAGAGTCTGCTTGCCGATGCAGGGGGCGTGGGTTCGTGCCCCGGTCCGGGAAGATCCCACATGCTGTGGAGCGGCTGGGCCCGTGAGCCATGGCCACTGAACCTGCGCATCCGGAGCCTGTGCTCCGCAGCGGGAGAGGCCACAGCAGTGAGAGGCCTGCGTACCGCAAAAAAAAAAAACACCAAAAAAACAACAACCCTGTGGGATGAAACATAGCCCTGATTTGTAACACTTGCTGGCTTCTGTGATACAATTATTCCCACCGTGGCCAATTACATTTGTGCATATGTGGGATAAGTACCGGATGGCCAGAGAGGTGGCGGTTACTAGAATGATCAGCATGCCCAGAGATGATACGGTGGGATCAGGAGGGCCTTTGTGGATGAGCTCAGTTTCAGGCATAGTTCAGGTAAGGAAGAATGTGATCATCCAGGTTTAAACTTCACGTGCGTGCCCCAGACCCTGGGGTTTGCCGTCCCCTGAGGAGTTTCCCTGCCACCTGATGGACCATTACTTGTGCCTCCTTCCTTCTCTTCAGAACCTCTCCGGAAACCCCAGGAAGTTTACCCAGATCTGGAATCTGGGGAGAGGTACGGAGTATTAGGAAACATCCTAGTACGTGCAAGCTAGAGCTTGAGACACTGCCCAGACTCTTAGGCCTTGAGGCTCATGCTGGGCTGGGATAACTTTGGGGGATTGTGTCTACAAGTTGGTATCCCATTAAGGGAATCTAGTTATGATGTAATTCCTGTCTCCCCCGTTGGTACATGGGATAGCTGTGCTAGACTGACTGGCATGTGCTTCATCTCCCACTTGGAGCCTTAGGACTCCCATACAACCAGAGGTGTGTAGGGCTGTAGGGGAGGTAGAGAGATTGAAATACAGGAGCCCTGTCCTTAATTGGGCACTTCCGCTGGGCTAAGTGCTTCTACTCAGGAGCCCAGAGCTAAAACCCAGCCCCTGCCCTTCTCCACCTGAGTGGGTGATGGAGCCCTGCCCTCTTCCAGCTCTATGACCTTGGGTAAGTAATTGAGCCTCTTTACATCTCAATTTTCTAACTTATTAAATGGAAATGATAATACCTTCTTCCCACGTATCTTCACAGCCACGAGTAGACCCGTGTTTTCAAGGGTATTGCAGATCACTTGTTTTCCTTAGCCGGGCCAACACACTCCTGAGGTCCGGGAGCCCCTCCCTCTAGGAGAATGCACTTCTGGCCAAGAGGTGTGGGGTGTAGAGCAGCATCCCCAGTTCACACACCAGCTCTGAGCTCACTGTCTTGTGTTTCAGGAATTAACCGACTTGCAGAGGGATCCTCCTGCCCAGTGCTCTGCAGGACCTGTGAGAGATGATTGTAAGTACCTTTCAGGGCTCCAGATCCCAGGAGCCTTGCAATCAAGACCCCCAAATTTATCAGCCCCTCGCGTTTTTTTGTTTGTTTGCTTGTTTGAAAAAACCTATCGTTGTTTTCCCTTCATTTGGTTGTGAATTGCTTTTTCACTAGACGCCTTGAGTTCATAGCCCGCCTGGTCAAGATGCTGCCAGAAATCACCATCTCCCTCCACTGGGGCACAAGAAAGCCATCTTATCCTGAGGCACATTGGCTTCTGGAAGGTGCCTCTGACCAACTACAACTTGGGATGTTGGTATAAAAATGGTCATGAAGCGAATCATGGAGGTCCTGCTGCTGTTGCACGAGGGGGCAGAGCTCTGGGGGTTGGTGAGGGGAGGGGGGGTGCTGGCTCCTGGCCTCTGCGAAGGGGAGGGGCAGTTCTTTAATCCCACTTCTGCTCTTCCCCAGGAGAGACTGAAGGAGCAGCGCTAGCCAGCCCTCTGCCACCCTCTATAGCCGACTGGCCATAGGCCAAGCTGCCCAACACTTGGGTTTCCCAAATCTGTACTCTGCTCTCCCATTTCACCTCCACTTTCTGAGCGTCTTAGGCTCTGGGACACACTCATCCTTTACTGTAAGGCTGCAGTAGCTACAGCTGAAGGAAAAGTAGGCCGGGAAGGGAAAGACTGCATAGAAGAAGGGTGATGTGCCCTTCAAGGACACTGAAGAATTAAAAACACGAACTCAAACAGAACTTGTACACCAGTGTTCATTGCACCATTATTTACAATCCCCCAGAGGTGCCCAGGTGCCCATCAACAGATAAATGAATAAGCACAGTGTGGTATATATATATATACGATAGCATGTTATTTAGCCATAAAAAGGGATGCAGTTCTGACACATGCTACAACGTGGGTGCACCTTGAAAACATGCCGTGTGAAATAAGCCAGAAAGAAAAGGGCAGATACTGGATGATTCCATTTACATGAACTAACTAGACAAGGCAAATTCATAGAGACAGAAAGCAGAGTAGAGGTTCCTAGAAGCTGAGGGGAGGTAGAAATGGGGAATTCTTTCGTGGTACAGAATTTGTCTGGAGTGATGAAACAGTTTTAGAAATGGATAATGGTGGTTTGCTGAACATTGTGAACGCACTTAATGCCACTGACTTGTACACTTAAAAGTGGCTAAAATGACATATTTGATGCGGTATGTTTTAAAACTTTATTATGTTAAAATACAAGAAAGAAAAATTTCACAGAGCTGGAATAAAAGAGGAAGTGGTGTCATGTGTGTGTGTTCCTGCATGTCCTGTGGGCTGAGGCTTAGAGGAGCTGAAGGTGGGCAGACAGAGCCACTGAAAATGGCAGATTCCAAAAGCTTTATGCGAGAGTTTAAATAATTTTTTTTAGAGCAAAACAGAAACGATTCCCACTGCATATGCAGAGTTAATGAACAAGGGTGGCTTCACGTGACTGTTACCCGATCTGTGTTGTCCTTCCAAGCGTCCCACATCTTGCTAACGTGTGTTCCCCTCTTACCTGTTGCTTAAGATAACGTAAACTAGGCTCACTGGTAAGATTGGACTGGTGCTGATGCAGCCTCAGCTTTCTAAAGGTGCCCCTCGTTGCTTCTCACCACACGCACTCTCACCCTTCCCTGCCGCCCTTGCTGGAAGGTGGCTATCCTCACCTGAGAGGCTGGCCACCCTCTGTACTCAGTACCTGAGTTCTGATGAGGTTCGTACAGCCTTGGAAACTAGCTTACCTTTGGGGGCCATTTCATGCCTGCCCTGTGGGCAAGTAGCCCCTTGCCAGCATCCCTCTGCAATTTCCTTTCTCTTCCTCTCTCTTTTGGGTCCTTCTCTTCTGACTGTGCCCCCAAGCCCTGCTCAGCCCCTCAGCAGACCTCAGGGGTTAAAGTGAATGGGACCAAAGTGTCCCAACCTGTTTGCCAGAAGGAGCCACGCATATTAGCTACTCCTCCCCACGGGCTCCTATTCTCTAGTATGTTAATTATCAAAAACACTTATTTAATAAGCAATTCTATTCTATATTATGATTGGGCAAAAGTGTACCTACCAACTAATGATTAGCATGAGTTGGAATAAAGGCAGTCAAAAGAAAAAGAAGTGACACTTGCATTAGCTCAGGCAGCCTTATTGTAGGGAAAGATGTTCTCTTCAGTGGCATTTCTTGAAACGTTTAAAAAAGGTCAAGGGCTGCTCTGTCTTCGGATACCTCTAGGGCTTGGGGAAACCTCTCCTTTGGTCCCTTCACTTGCACCCCCTCTCATGCCTTGGCAGTTTCCTATCCTGCTGTCAAGGGTAGAGCCTGTGAGACATTTGAACAGGTGGCAGGAAACCCAGTACAGGACCAGGTCTGAAACCTTGGGCTAATACTTCCACACCCGTCATGGAGCCGTAAGACAGAATTCCCTAGAGAATAACAGACCCCTCAGATGCTCTCAGCAGCCCACTCGGGTGGGCAGATAGGTGCTTTCCACAAAGACTGTCCTGGGAGCTTTGGAAGTGAGTCACTGGCCCACTCTAGCCCAGCCCTGCTGAGTGTACAGGAGCTTCCCTAGGGATGGGTCCAGCAATGAAAGTAACCTGAGACTCCAGAGAGGGCAGCAGGCAGGATGTGCCGCAAGAGAAGGCTCTAACCCACTAAGGAGGGAGCCTGGCCTGACCACCTAAGGTGGGGACCTGGGAGGGAAGCACAGGGGAAGCCCCCCTTGTTCTTGCTCTTGGTTCTGTCACCTAGTCCCTGGAGCACAAGGCACCACTTGGGGGATATGTGAGAGGACACAGATGGAGGGTGGCCGCATTGAAGCCCCAGGGCCACGGGCATTGATTGGCTCCTAAAAGAGACCCTTTGGAGAGGACTTCAGAGTGAACTGTGAAGAACTAAGGAGAAAGATTTATAAAAGTAATGTGGAAAGTGGCTAAAGCCTACCTAAGGCTTAATTCTATGCAAAGAGAAGACTGAATTGTAGTTTACTGGCACCTGGGTAGTGAGGAATTTAATTTTGTTCTTAAAAGAGCTGGCCTCTGTCCCTAGCCGCTGGGAGGCGATCTCTAAAACGTCCTGCCTGATGGGACTGTCTGTTTACCCAAAGGCTTTGACCCATACCAACAATGTGAGTTAGGGTGAGGACTGGCCACACTAGCTAGACCAGCCACGTGGTTTAAGGTGGAGGCTTTGGGTCATTGCCAGAGGAGCTGGAGACTCAGATCAGCCACGTGGGTAGTCCATTAATCCATCCTGCTTCCGTGATGGAGCCCTAGTGAAAACTCTGCACGCTGAGCCAGGGGTGAGCATCCCTGCGGGCAGTGTTCTGTGTGCTGTCACACATCAGTGCCAGGACTCCAAGGAGGAGGACAGTGGAAGCTCTGCATTTGGACCCCTCCTGGACTGTCCCCGTGAGCTCTTCCCTGTGATAAACTGGAGCTGTGAGTACAAAAGCCTTTCATGAGTCTGGAGTCTAGTCAAATTACAGAACCCCCTGCAGGGGCGTTTGGTGTCAGAAGTGAGGGCAGGCTTGCGTGAACGGCACCCTCTGAGCAGAGCAGCTCCTCTTTGGTGGAGAGACATGTTTGTCAGGGAGTCTCAGTTTCCCGTCTCTCTTTTGTCTTGCACTGTTCCACTGGCAGGCCACCATCGTGGGCCCGGTAGGTAGCAGCTGCCGAGTGCACCCCTCGCTTTGCTTGTTGCGCTGTACGCGCTCACAAATGCACTAATCCACTTTCGGTGTCTCATCCTCCAGAATGACAGTCCTTACCAAGGAGGTGTTTTCTTCCTGATCATCCACTTTCCTACAGATTATCCTTTCAAGCCCCCAAAGGTAAGGACGGGACAGGGACAGCGTGTGATAAAGTCACTGGTACAGAAAGCTGCACCTGGGACTCCTCCCAAGGGCCCTCATCCACCACCATGGGTACGGCCTCCCAGGAGTTAAACACTGGACTTTCAGAATCCATTCCTCTTGTGAGCAAGGCCGGGGTGGTGAGGGCTTCCTCCTGAAGCCGTGGTTTCAGGGGTGCTGCTTGTAGGGTGGCTGAGTTGGGACATGTCTCAGGCTCTAGTTCCCTTCTCTGCAGTCCCTTTCAGTCTAGGACAGGGCTTCTCAGCCCCTGTCCCAGGGACATTGGGCAATGTCCTGGGATATTTGTGGTAGTTAAAGCCTGAGGTGGGAGGTGGGGAGAGGAGAGGTGCTTCTAGTATCTAGTGGGTGGAGGCCAGGAATGCCACTCAGCACCCTGGATTGCATAGGACGGCCCTCAATGTCTGCAGGTGGAGAGACCCTGGTCTGGGGCCCTGGCAAGTCACCTCCTTCCCGCACCCAGAGGAGTCCTGCCCTCATGAGACTCACAGTCCTGTGTGGGGGACATTTAGTATGAGAGCTGGGCCACGCAGAGGAGAAGCACAGAGCAGGAAAGTGGGACATGACAGTGAGGGCGGATGGCAGGGGTATCGCCCTGAGCATGGGAGGGCCCACAGGGAACAGGGGGACAAGCCTGTGTTTGGGGGCGGGGAGGACGCCAGAGGGGTGGCCCATGGCATGGGGTCTGTGGCTTGCTGTGGTGCGGAGAGGTGGAATGGGGGCCGGGCTGGTTGTGAAGGCAGGGCAGGTGGCACGAGGGCAGGCAGAAGAGGCAGATTCTGGAGGCTTCCAAGATGGAGCCAACAGGAGAGGCCGCAGGCCAGATGTGGTCACACGGCAGTGATGTGTATGGGATTCACGTCACTTTTTCTTTTTTTTTTTTTTTTTTTTGCGGTACGCGGGCCTCTCATTGTTGTGGCCTCTCCCGTTGCGGAGCACAGGCTCCGGACGCGCAGGCTCAGCGTCCATGGCTCACGGGCCCAGCCGCTCCGCGGCATGTGGGATCTTCCCGGACCGGGGCACGAACCTGCATCCCCTGCATCGGCAGGTGGACTCTCAACCACTGTGCCACCAGGGAAGCCCCACATCACTTTTAACATATTTTTATTTTTCTGATTGGAAAATCGATAAAAATTGTTTATTTTAAAATTAGAACATTTGGAGAACTAACTAACATACAGATGGAAATCAGTCTCCTTATAAATCTATCCCCAGAGGAGATCGCAACTGATGGCCCTGTATACACTCCTCCAGGATTTTTCTTCATACACCAATATATATTTTTATTCTTATCTTTAAAATAAAATTGTCGATTCTGGTTGTGAATGAGAAAACTGAGGCTTTGAATGGGCACGTCATCTCCTGAAAATGGCATGGCTCATAGTGGAGGGTGGGACTTGAACCCAGATGTGTCGGCCTATTTTTTTTTTAACTTTTTATTTTGAATTAATTTTAGACTTAGAGAACAGTTGCAAAAATAGTACAGAGTTTCCATATATCCCTGTCCAGCTTTCCCTAAGTCAACATCTTACGTACTGTAGTACAAGTATCAAATCCAGGAAATCAGTGTTGGCCACGATACTCTGAACTAAACTGACGGCCTTACTTTTTTACCAGTTTTCACTGCTGTCACCCTTGTGTTCTAGGACCCCGCACTGCATTTATTGGCTTGTCTCCTGCATCTCCACGGTCTGTAGCAGGGCCCCCGTTTCCCCTGGTCTTTCATGACCTTGATGCTCTTGCGAGGCATTGATCAGTTATGTTGTCAGAGGTCCCTCATTTGGGGTTTGTGTGATGTTTCCTCAGGGTGAACTAAGGCTTTGCGTTTTAGCAAGACATGCGCAAAAGTCTTGAGTCTGTCTCAGGGCCCCCGATCTCAGGGTTTGTGATATGTCGTACTGCCCCGAGGTTGACCTTGATGGCTCAGTTGGAATCAGACCCCTTACCCCGTGTGTGCACGTTGTATCGAAGCCGTGGGAAGAGGCCCCACCGGGCTTCTCAGCCGCAGCTCTTCCTGGGCATTGCCACCAGAGGCCATCTGGTGCCTCCGTATTTTAAATCATGGTTAAATGTGGTTAGGATCCCGGAGACCTTGCCAGCTTTTAGCAGGGGAGACTGGGGTGTGCTGGGCAGAGGCGGGCAGATGCTAAAATAACTCTCTTGAGTATGACTGTTATTCCAAGGGGTTTGGTTGCAAGGCGTGTTTCATGGTCTTGAATGTACTCCCTCGCCCCTTTCCCTGTTGAGAGATGCTGCCGTGTCTTGTAAGGTAGGAATCTTCCATCTTACCTCCTTCATGAGAGTATAAGCTGCTGCTGATCTGTCTTAAAACAAACAGGATGTAGTCCTGTATGTCTCTTGGGCATTTTCAGGATTCCTGACTGCCTGCCCAAGGACAAAGAGAAAACAGCGCCTATTATTAAAAGCCTGCAGTAAGCCCTGTGAGTTGGAGAGGTGTAAGCTAAAAAGTCCTATCTCCTACAAAAGAAGAGGGTGTTTCTGTCTTTTTAAAATCTCCTTTCCACAGGAGAACAAGATAAAGTAGACTGACGTTTTGGCAAGAATTTTCTGACTCTGAGGGGGGTCTGGCAAGACTGCGTGATCTTCTTTGTAGGAGATCTTGGGGGATAAGGCAGAGACGCTTTGGAAGTTTGACCCGTCCTGGAAGAAATCATTTGGTAATAGATGATAAGCCTCCCATACACACAGCTTCCTCTCCTCATATTGTGAAGTAAGTTGTTTTTTTTAAAAAAAAACAGGCAAAACCCGCACTATTTTATTATAAACTATTTCAGGCATGTAAAATATTGTAGATAATAATATAACGGATGCCCACGTATGCGCCACCCAGCCTAAGAGCTCCATTTTTCAAGGAGACTTCCGAGTCCTTGCCACCGTCCTTCTTGTTGCCCCTCAGAGCACACTACTTTGGGGCAGATGGTGTCAGTCCCGGTGTCTAGCTCAAGTACCCAGCAGGGAATGGGTTGGGGGTCTACTCCTCCGGGTGCCCCCTCCTGTATCCTGTTCAGGTTTGGGGAGGGAGCCCAGCTCATCCAGGACCGTGCAGGGCAGTAAGTTATTTCAACACTGACTATGATATATTTTAGATATACCCAGAGTGGTTGTTTTCATTGCCTCCTCTGATTACAAATCTCTCTTACAGTGTCATGGCACCAGATTTCATTACAGTAATGAGGATAAACGCACATACTGTCAATGGGCACCAGACCTGCTCCATGCTGCCAAGAGTGGCACTGACTCACACTCTGGTGGCCAGATTCCTGGAGCCCACATGCTGGACAGCCAGGGCTGTTCCACGCTGACCTCTGTGTATCTCTTCCTCATCCATGTTGTAGGACGGGAGAGACGGAGGGAGGAGATTCTTTGCACCATTAAATCTTCCCCAGCAGACAGCTGTGAAGAACCCTCAGGACTCACCAGGCTAGGGGTTTACGGCCGTGAATGGCACGTTCCCGCTCCGGGCAGCCTTTATTGCATTCGTCCATCAGTCCTCGGTATTTGACTGGAAGCAGCAGCATTGCCCCCGTACCAGTTCTGTTCTCTGCTCCGCATTGAAAGGAAGTGACCATTATGCACGAGGGTGTCACCCCCTCTGCTTTTTTCTTCCAGGTACAACCGACTAGCGAGAGAGTGGACACAGAAATATGCTATGTAAGTGCCTCAGAGGTTTTACGGGTGACATTGTCCAAGAGAAGCTGAGCTGAGGTGCTGGCCGAGCCACTCACAGAGCATCGTGTCTTCTGCAAACAGACGCTGCTTGCCCACTTTCCCCAACCGCAGCATGTTGGTACCACTCTCAGCCATCGTGGTTTTGACAGCGTCATGTCTCTGATGCCGGATCAGCGGTCACTGTTACGATCTGCAGCCTTCCTGGCTACATCGGAATCTGTCCCGCCACCCCGACTCACTGCTCACCTCCTGGGGGGACCTGTGCGCCTCCCCTGCCCGGCCTCACTCAGGCGGCATCGCTCACGGAGGGGATACACAGGGGGCCTCAGCGTGGCCCCTTACCACGTGCTCTTGGCCTTTTAGAATTCAGTGCCAGCTCGGGTGCCCAGGGCAGAGCGGGCAGGCTTCCCTCACATCGCGTCTGCTGCAAACCACATCCCGAGGAGTCTCCACTCATCCCAGGAGTTCCTGGGAATTGGGAACAGTGTCACTGGGAAGTGGAGGCCTTACCCCACAGCTCCCACCAGCCTTCCTCGGCAGTGCCACATGCTGGCCCTCTCCCCTCACACCGAGCCGCGGTAAATAGAAGATATAAAGGGGTATAAAGCACATAACACGCCATGAGAGATGACTGTCCTTGTAGAAGCAAGAGCAAAATTATGAAACCTGGAAAGATTTGGGTTATGCTTTTCTACCCGATGAGGTTTTTATCACCCCTACCTCCTCCCGTTCAGAGCCTCCATGAAGTCCAAGTGTGAGCCAGTCACTGACCAGACACAGGAAGAGAGGGGGACTGTTAAATGTAAATTAAAATGTAATTCACTCATAACCCTAAATGATAACTGACATTGAAGTCTCTTTTTTTTTTTCCAGGCAGAAGAGAAGATATGGAAACTTTTAACAGGTAGCCTGTCGGGTAACTGGCCTCCTCTCTTAAGTTTCTGATGCAACACATTTTAAGACTTGCCTTCAGAGTTCAAAGGTTTGAGATTAGGTTAGTGAGGAGAAGGGTAGGAAAGGGGTTAGTCTAATTAAACCTCCAAAGAGAGGGAGGAAAACTGAGGGACTTCAAACCTCTAATGTCAAATTTGGCCTGGTCTTTCCTAAGGGCGTTTCAAAGCTGGTCCACTCCCAGAACAGCCCTATGAAAATAATGTCTGGGTGAGTAGGACCAGGGGGTGGAGAAACACTTAAATGCTGCAACCAGATGGCCAGGCCTGTGGAGTTTGGAAGGAAGCCTACAGACCTTGCAGCTGGGGATCAGCAAACAATAGGTGACCATGGGAGGCTCATCTGCTCCAGAAACTGCCGGGAGAGTGCCGGGATTAGTTACCACCGCTTCCTTAGCAAAGCAAGCAGCAGTGTGAGCCTGGTCTGCATCTACCTTATGGGGATCCCCACTTAGGATCCTGTTACCACAACAAGGCTGCTTTCTGTGTTCCGTGGGCCCCGTTCCCTGCCTGTTACCATGGTGAGGGTGGCCCTTTTAATTTTCGTGTCTTTGCTACCCCTTCGGTCTTTACCTAAACAAAATGATAAACGTTAGGTGTCCCCTGGGAACACTGTCATCACACGGCTCTGCCACTTCAGACAGGGGTCACAGTGCTCCTTGAACCACGCGTAACAAAGCACGGGAAGGTAGATTCACGTTTCAGAGACAAGTCAGAGGCTCAGAGAAGAGACCTCCAGGCCCAAGTTGCTGCCATATTTCAGCCTTTCCAGTGTAATGGCTTATGACTCCCAACAGGCTGATGAATTTTCTCAGTCCAGTCAAAATTTCCCCAAGCCTGCTCTCCCTGTTGGAGATCTGCAGTAGAAAAAGTAAAATTATCCCTTTGGGATCCCCAGTATAAATAACCATTCACTCTTCGCTAACTTGAGTCGTGCTCTGTACCTGCCAGAGCCCTTGGACAGGCCACCCCAGTGACGCTCCACAGGCCTGTCCCTGGCAAATTCCCTGGACTCTGTCCCCATGGGAAACTTGCTTTTCATGGCTTCCAGGGTTCAGGTCAGTCTGAAGGACAGGCATCTTAGGTCGAAAACCTTATTTTAAAATGCACTGTGGTGCAGGCAGCTCCCGCGTAAGCCACAGGTACACATATCATGTTTCCAAGGCGAGTCCCAGGTCAGTAACTGGACAGCAGCTCTGAAAAGCTAACGGCGGGAGTGATACATTTTCTTCTCTGTGGACCAGGGATATCATGGAGATGCATGACCTTAAGCAATTGAACCAACATGAACAAATGACTTAGCTCCGGCCACAAGTGTCTCAGCTTGCAGGACGGTGCCGAGATCTTGGTCCTTCGTCAGGCTACGGGAAGACCCAAGAGTTCCAAGAACACGGCACAGGGTCGGTCTCCCGACAAGGGATGAAGACACCAGAACACCAATGTCCAACGGCCTGGCAGCTCACAGCTGAGCTGTGCGTCAGCACCGTGGGGTCCCACACCACCCGACTGCAGATGCTCAAGGACGGGCAGGTTTCTGTCTCTGAAATTCAGGAGACAGTCTCCTGGAGTTCCAGAGAGGTGCTTATGGGACTGGTCTGCAGAACTCCTGGCCCGATGCCTGTCCTGGCAGAGGCTGAGAAAGCCTTGAGAGCAACATAGGCCACCCGTCCCTCCCGCCCTCGCCTGCCCATCCCTCCTGTGCCTCTGTTCCTCCAGCTCTTCTCGCTGTGACACATGCTTCCTCCCTGGCAGCGCTGGCTGAGGATTGAATGAGGATTAGATCTAGCCGTGAAAGCTGGTCCTCTGAGAAACGGAGGATGGCTTCCCAGGGTTACCAACCTGGGTCCTTGGACTATTTAATCAATAGAAATTGATAACAGACCGGACAAGAAATTCCGGCAAGGCTTTAGTGGGACTTGAGCGGCAGCAGGTGGGAGTGAGAACGAGTAACAGGTGCGCTTGCTCGCTCCCCGAGCCGGAGTGGGCGTGGAGGGGTGGCTTCGGTGATCTGTGCACCCCCTTGCCGGTGCTGTGTGCGGGGATCATGTGCAGCCCCCCGCTTTTGCTCCGCGCACCTCAGAAATGGCAAGTGGGTTTTGGCCTTTTTGTATCTTACTGCTCATAACGGACCCCACCTGCGCACGCATGCAGTTATTTTTTTAGTCCCTTCGAGTTTCTTTGTATTCTGTTGCTTGAGGAGAGGAGACGTTTGTCCAGGTGCAAGCACTCCAGGAAAGGGTCCCGAGTCCCAGGTCCCAGCCTATCTCGCCAGCACCCGCAAGACAGCAGCCTGGTGCCATGCAGGCGGGCAACGCTCGCCCCTCAGGTCTGGTGTTCTCCCCCGGCCCATCTGCTGGCCTCATCATGACCACCACCGGGGTTCCTATTCTGTTGCCAGAGAGATTTTATTAAAAACAAAACCAAAAAGCTATAGAAAATCTGCAAAACCCCTATCAGACCAAATAGTGGCTTTTTGACTTTCCTTAAAAAAAAGTCTCCTTCTTATCCCATCTCCACCCCACTTCTCCCAGACTCCCAATTCTCACCCTTCAGAGAGGCCCACTTGGTGTATCCAGCTCCCTACCACAGAGCTTCCCTCGGGGTGCAGGGGCTTGGCTGGGCTCCCCTTTGGGAGGTAATGACAGAACTGCCCCGTTGGAGCCTGCCTCTCACCCCTGCTGCCCACCCCCATCACCGCAACAGCTCAAGGGCCTAGTCACGGGGGGAAGACCACAGGCCTCAGGAAGGAGGTGGGACTAGGGTCAGGTCTAATGGATGGACGGGGGAGAGGGTCCTGCAGGCAAAGGGAGCCCTTCAACAGAGGCTGGGTTCCAGCATATTCTGGGAGCTGACTCAGCACCTGGGGATACTTCCGCACATGGCCCTTCCCAAACTGGGGCCCTGTTACCTTCTGGGAGCCAAGGGGTCACCAGGACACTAGGGTAAATGGAATCACAGGGCTGACCTTTCCGGAGAATCACTGAAGGCAGAGGAGTGGCAGGATGAATACAAATGTTCATACTGAGTGGATGGCACACTTCATATAAGCTGGTGTGTAAAGCCATTTCACACCCTAGACCCCCAGGGAAACAAGCACCGTCACTGGACCAGAGACCTGTTAGGGGCAAGGACACAGGCACAAAGCTGCATCTATCTAGCCCTCTATCCACGTGAAGAAAGAAGTGCCATTAGGCCTGGGCCCAGCCTGGCCTCAGAGTTTGTTCTCGGGAGCAATAATGGCCTGGCTAGGGCACAAGAAAGAAGGTCAGCAGTGCTCAATGGGCAAAATGATCCAACAGCTCCAGAAACAAGGATGCGGATGGAGGCATGGGCCATAAAGTTGAGGGTGGCAGAAGCAAGGGATTTAAGGCTGGCTACCCTTCTGAGGAAAGTTGAAAGTTCCGTGTCAAATGTCCAGCAGTGGGAATTCCCTGGCGGTCCAGGGGTTGGGACTCTGCACTTCCACTGCAGGGGCCATGGGTTCAGTCCCTGGTGTGGGAACTAAGATCCTATATGCCGCGTGGTGTAGCCAAAATATATATGTATGTATGTCCAGCATGCAGGCTCAGGATGCCTTCAGCCTGAAACAGGAGGGACTAACAGAACCTATTGACATCTTTGGGTTCAAAATGTCGGCAAAGGGGCTTCCCTGGTGGCGCAGTGGTTGAGAGTCCACCTGCCGATGCAGGGGACACGGGTTCGTGCCCCGGTCCGGGAAGATCCCACATGCCGCGGAGCGGCTGGGCCCGTGAGCCGTGGCCGCTGAGCCTGCGCGTCCGGAGCCTGTGCTCCACAACGGGAGAGGCCACAGCAGTGAGAGGCCCGTGTACCACAAAAAAAAAAAAAAAGTTTTCTTTTTAGGGCAGGAAAAGCAACGATTTCATTTCTCTAACTCTGTAGTAATGTGGCCGTGTGTGGCTGGATCAGAGAGATGTAATCTTGGTGGTTTTTAAGAAAATGCTTTTCTTGCTAATTGACACTTCTGTGGAGGAAGACTTTGAATAAACACCTGTTCTTTCCTACTGATGGCTGTGGTCTGAATGATTGTGTCCCCTCAAAACTCCTATGTTGAAATCTTAACCCCCAAGGTAATGACATTAGGAGGTGGGGCCTTTGGGAGGTGATTAGGTCCTAACGGTGGAGCCCTCGTGAATGGCATTAGGGTGCTTACACAGGACGCCCCCAGAGAGCTCCTTTGCCCCTTCCACCACGTGAGGACACGTGACGGCCATCTATGAACCAGGCAGTGGGCTCTCACCAGATACCAGATCTACCAGTGCCCTGATCTTGGACTTCCAGCCTCTAGAACTGTGAGAAATGAATTTCAGTTGTTTGTAAGCCACCCAGTCTGTGGTGTTTTGTTACAGCAGCTCGAATAGGTGGAAACCCTGGGGGACACCGCTGTGGCAATTCTTTTTCTTAACGTTGTTGACTCCTTCTAGGCAGTGGGCTCCAGAAGGCGTTTACCAGCATGGTCCCTCCACACTTGGGCCCAGATGCCTTCAGGACACAGCTGCCCTCAGAGTGTGAAAGACACTGACCATTTGGAGCCCTGCTCTCATGCCCTGGATCTGTTATCCTAACACACCAGGAGAGCATCAAGAAGTAAAGAAGATCTGAGTCTATCAACATGCAAGAAGAGTATACAGGCTTGTGTGAATGACAGAGCAATTTGCTAAGGAGAAGAGAGAAGAGTCCTAGGAATGAACTGTGGAGACATCTCACATTCTCAAACCAAGGAAAAACCAACAAGAGGGAGATGGCCAAAAGGAAATAGGAACTCAGGAAAAGCAGGAGTGGGAGGGAGAGGGGCGTGGACAGGATCTACACACAGCAGCCAGGGGGACATTTTTTTTTTAATAAATTTATTTATTTATTTATGGCTGTGTTGGGTCTCGGTTGCTGCGCACGGGCTTTCTCTAATTGCGGCGAGCGGGGGCTGCTCTTCGTTGCAGTACGCGGGCTTCTCATTGCGGTGGCTTCTTTTGTTGCGGAACACGGGCTCTAGGCACGCGGGCTTCAGTAGTTGTGGTGCACAGGCTCTAGAGCACAGGCTCAGTAGTTGTGGTGCACGGGCTTAGTTGCTCTGCGGCATATGGGATCTTCCCGGACCAGGGATCAAACCCGTGTCCCCTGCATTGGCAGGTGGATTCTTAACCACTGCACCACCAGGGAAGTCCCCAGAGGGACATTTTAAAAACATCCCTAGATCAGGGACTTCCCTGGTGGTCCAGTGGTTAAGACTCCATGCTCCCAATGCAGCGGGGGCCCGGATTCGATCTCTCGTCAGGGAACTAGATCCTGCATGCCGCAACTAAGAACCCACATGCCACAACTAAGAAAGATCCCACATGCCACAACAAAGATCCCACATGTGGCAATGAAGATCCCGCGTGCCACAACTAAGACCCGGAGCAGCCAATAAATAAATAAATAAATAAACATAAAAACATCGCTAGGTTACATCCTCTCTGTTTAAAGCCCTCCAGGGATTCCATCACACCTAAGAATAAAGTGCTCCCCCCTGACCCACAGGGTCCTACAGGATCCAACCCGCACCCATGCCTCCTTCCCTCTCTTCTTCTCTGGCCTCCCACCTCAGAGCTCCAGCACCTCTTGTTCCCTCTGCCTGGAACACTTCTCTCCAGATCTTCCACAGCTGCGTCCCCCACCCTCCCACCCCCATATCCAGTCTCTGCTCCTGTGTTACCTCTGGGAGTCCTTCCCTGATCTGTCAAGCTGAAATAGGCTACCACACACTAGAGCAGGAAGTGGAATCCTAATGTCCCCACCTTCCCACACCAGGGACCCCCTCAGCCTTCTTTCAGTGGAGCCTGGGTCTCCCTGCTCTTCCCTCATCCGTATGGATGGACCTGGTCACCACACTGAGCTGATCTAGTGCCAGGACAAAGAGACCTGCCTCTTTGGTCTGCACAGCCTGATTCAGGCAAGGTAGGGCCGCCCCCAGTTGACTGAAGTGTTGAAAAGTGCTCCCTAGTAGGCCTTAGGGATCCAGGGCCCCCAGGCTGGGGACTGGCAACCAAGTAGATGAAGGAAACTGGTAACTAGGACGTGTTTAAATAGGAACATTCCCAGAGAAAGAAGAGAAAACAAAGACACGTGGAGCCAAAGAAAATAAGAAACAAGAACAATACGAGTGTCTGTGGGTTGAACTCCCCTGGAATATGGAGACAAAGGGACTGGGGCGGATCAGAAAGTCACCTGAAGGTCAAGTCTGAGGAAAAACATGACAGCAGAGATGTTACTGAAGACAAAAAATAGACTGGAAATCGGGAGAGCTGCGAGGCCTCCATTTACTAGAGTTCATTTTTCCGAGGCAAACACATTAGCGAAGTCAAAGCGGAGAAAGGAGGAGACCTGTACACTGCAGAAGATCCAGGGCGGTTGGGGAGCGAGCAGGGCCGCAGACAGAGCTGCTGAAGGCGAGGAGCATTTGGCCAGGACCGAAGGCTTCCCCAGGGTGGGACCAGGCAACGGCTCTGTCCATCAGAGAGACGTCAGAGTTTCTGCCTGTAAGACAAGCAACAGTGATGTGAACAGCAAGGAAAATGGCTCAACAAATGAAAAGTATTTGTGCCCAAGTAAGGGGTACAAGCCCTTAAATGCACAGTCCAGACCCCAAGACCTTAAGATTTTGGTAACTGACTTGTCAGCAAAATCTGACCTGAACTGCCATGAGGCTATTTAGAGTCTTTCTATAACCCGCTTGACTGATTTTTCAGACGTCACTGCAGAAAAATGAACACGTTTGATTACCAGACTCTGCTCGGGTTCCTGTGGTAGAGTTTATAGAGTATAAAGGGTATATGCAATATTTTCTGAAAGCTGAACGACTCTGAATTCCAAAGCACGGGATTCTAAGGGGCTATGGGACTGTGGATCTGAATTTTAGGGAAGTGGGGGAGTTCTCTAGGGCAGAGAAGGAAGCTGTGAGCTGCTGTGGGCCGGGCATGTGTCTCTGTTTCCCTCCAGGTAGGTCAGTCATAGTCAGGTGCAGGTTGAGGCATGGTGGACCCCTTCCATCAGTCAGCCAAGGCCTGGAAAGAACCAGGACCATGACGGAGCAGGACCCTATGGGGCCTTCCCAGAGCAGACACCCCGTCCCTGCCACCATGTCCTCTGCCTGCCTCTTGTCTTTAGAAAAACTTTAGCCTTCTAGGCCTTCCCTAAGTTCCAACGAATAAATTTAATCAGAGAAGTGAGAAAATGCAGAAACAAAGGAAAACAGTCAAGCAAGACAAAATAATGATAGTTTAGCCACTAAACAAAGTCAAGGCCCTTTACTGCCTCCTCAAAGGCTATAGATATTATTTGGAGCCATATCCTTGAGCTATTTTTTGCAGATACTGAAGCCCCCACTAGGTGGAAGAAGTTGACTGCGTGCCGCCCACAACCCAGACTGCTTGGAACCAGAAGGTTGACGATGTTGATTACCGGTTACCTCACCACCAACCAATCAGAAGAATGTCCACGAGCTGATCACACACCCCTCAGCCCCCTTGCCTCACCCTATCTTTAGAAACCTTTCCCTGAAAGCCAGCGGGGGGAGCTCAGATCTTTTGAGCGCTAGCTGCCAGGACTCCTTGCTTTGGCGCCCTGCAATAAATGCTGCACTTTTCCTTCACCACGACTTCATGTCAGTAGATTGGCTTTACTGCACTGGGGCCAGTGGACCCAAGTTTGGTTGGGTAAACAGGACAGCACGGGGCAGGTTCTCATCTCTCCTCCGCCACCGCATCCTCTACCTCACTAGAAAATGCAGGTGAGGTCAAAGAAACACGACAGCACTTTGAGTTAGGTTTGTGGCAGTGTGACCATCACTTAGTGTTCATTTTTATCCTTCTCATTAATTCATGACTGCTTCATTCATAGATAAAATTTCTTTTGAGGGTCCACACAGAGGATCGGGGGATCCCGTGCCTGTCATGAATCCAGGATTCTCAAGCAAGTGCTTTAACTGCAACAAGAGTTTAAGAATAAAATGCACGATGCTCCGTGAGTGTAGCGAACAGGGGGCTGGGTGGGGTCCCTCCGCCGGACCCACAAGGCGCGCCCTGGCTCGGCGGGACAGAGCACGGGGACGCGCAGAAGGCCGCGCCCTCCCTCCACCCCCTCGTCCAGCTGTCTGCAGACCGCGACCCGCACGCGGGCCCCAACTCCCCAGCAACCCTCTAGACGCCTAGCCAGCACTCGCCCGCTCACCCGAGCCCCGCCTGCACCGCTTCCGCTTCCGGCTGTCGGGGCGGGGCTTCCGGCCGACGGGCGGGGCGTTGGGCTGCCCGGGCCCGGAAGCGGCGGCGGAGGTGGGGGCACCGCAGTGTCGGCCATGGCTGTGAACCTAAGCCGGAACGGGCCGGCGCTGCAGGAGGCCTACGAGCAAGTGGTCAACGAGAAGTCCCCGACCGACTGGTGGGCGCCGAGGCGGCCAGGGGCGGGCCGGGGGCGGGCCGGGAGCGGGCTGGGGCCGGGGAGCCAGGGGGCGCGGAGCCCTGTCTGCCCCGCACCTGCGCCACACCCCGGGGGGGTGGCGGTCCCCACCCTGTCACCCCTTGCCCCACCGTGCGTGGGCAGGTTAAACCCGGCGTGGGGGTCCGGTGAGTCCCCAGCCCTTTCCCTCCGCTGGCCTCCGGTCTTGGCCGTACGGGCCTCGTTGATGCATCCTGTGCCTGGCTGTGCTTGAGGGCTTCGCCAGGTTCTCTTTTCTTGCCCGGAGA